AGAAACCCAGCCGGGCCGGCCCCAGGGGCTTCGTTTTCCCACCGCTGTTGGGGGGGGCAGGGCCCGGGTCACCAGGGAGCTCCAGAGGGGCAGGCGCCGCGCGCCCCTGTGTGTGTCTGAGCGCGCGCTGCTCCCTAATTCATTTCCGTGGCTCAGGGCTCGTGCGTCTACTTTGCTGCCGTCTGACCCGCCAGCACAGCCTGAGGGAGGAAGCGCAGGGAGGAAGCAGGCCCTGCTGAGCTGTGTGGATTCATTTGCCTGTGATCTGAAAGGGGGTTTCCAACCCGAGAGGTGGTGTCCTGTGGGGCTTAGCCCCTAGCGCAGGCCCTGCTGAGCTGTGTGGATTCATCTGCCTGGGATCTTAAAGGGGATTTCCAACCCGAGAGGTGGTGTCCCGTCTCCTGTGGGGCTTAGCCCCTAGCCTAATGGGGATTTCACCATTTTGACTGAGTGTCCTTCCCAGAGGTGAAAAGTAACAGAGAAATAGCCATGTTAGTCTGATCTTGGTAAAACCAAAAAAGTCATGTAGCACTTTAAAGACTAACAAGATGCTTTATTAGGTGATGTGGGGCAGACACACTTCTTCAGATCATATTCTGAAAGCGAATAGGCATAGCCATTATGTAACAGATGGATACAATGAAAAAGTAAACAAAATATACAGTAAGGAATCAGATACATAGCATAGAAGGTGGGGGCGAGGGGGGAGAAGTGACAAGGAAGGAGGAAATTGCTTATTGTAAGTGTCATTAAGTGGCTTCTCTGGAGTTACTACGAATATGAACAGGTGGAGAAGGCTGTCTTTGTAATGTGTAAGGTAATTATCTAAATTAAGGCCCATTCGCAACATGTCAAATTTTAGTTCTGAAGTCTCTCTGTAATCTGCTGTTGTAGTAAGCCGCATGTTGTTAGGTGTTTAAGGGAATGGCCAGTTTGATTAAAATGTAGGCTAATAGGTTTTTCTGTGTGGAGATGTGTGATGTCTAATTTGTGAGCATTAATTCTCTGGTGAAGTGACTGAGCAAGTTGTCCAGTATACATCACAGAGGGACATTGGTGGCACATAATGGCATATATCACATTGCTGGACGTACAGGAATATGAGCCCTTGATCGTATAACTGACATGGTTAGGTCCAGTGATGGTGTCTCCAGAGTAAATATGTGGACAAAGCTGGCAACAGTGTTTGTTGCAAGGGAAAGTTCCAGCATTAGTTTTATTGTTGTATGCCCTGTGGTGGTTGCTGTATTGGAACTTGGGAGACCCAGGTTCAGTTCCCTGTTCTGTGTAACCTTGGGCAAGTCACTTAGTCTCTGTCCAACTCACAGGTCAACCCACAACCACAGGGCATACCACAGATAAGCCATTTATTTGACGCTTACAATAAGTAATTTCCTCCTTCCTTGTCACTCCCCCCAACCCCCATTTTCTATACCTATTCACTTTCAGAATATGATCTGAAGAGAAGTGGGTCTGCCCATGAAAGCTTGTCACCTATTAAAGCATCTTGTTAGTCTTTAAAGTGCTACAAAAGACAGGACTATGTCCAGACTAACACGGCTAGACCAGACTAACACGGCTACATCTCTATTACTTTAAAGTACTACATGACTACTTTTTGTCTTCCCAGAGGTGTGTGTAGTTACCCTCAGTAACTGGGTATTTGGGCTTCACCCAATAGCTCCTACATACCATCTGAGTGACTGTCTGTCTACCCCCCCTCCCTAGCCCTTGTTGTGCTGTGGATATGGACATTGCTGTTGCTGTGAAGTTGATAGGGTCTGTAAGTAACTCAAAGCTAATAGGGCAAGGGTTATCCCCAGGATGCAGGTGGCCTATCAGCCACTTCCTTTCTCACTGTTGCCTCTTCTCTAGGTTGGAGCTTGCCCCTGGTGGGTCAGGATTATCTGGAGATCCTCTCCAGCTGGTATTGCAGCTTTGGAAACTGCTGTGAGACAGGAGACTGCAGAATAGTCAACAACGTGGTAAATAACTAAATAAATATATATATATATATATATATATATATATATTAATGTGTTATATTGGAAATTGGGAGACCCAGGTTCAGTTCCCTGTTCTGATACAACTCTCTGTGTAACCTTGGGCACGTCACTTAGTCTCTGTGCCGCGGTTCAACATCTGTATAATGGGGACGTCAGTATCACCTAGCCTTAAATACGTTAGAGTGTGAGGTGCTCGGATGCAGTAGTAATGAAGACTAGAGAAGTACTAAATGGAGCATGTGTGTGTCATGTTCTCCCGTCAGCTCGAGTGAAACCTCTAGTTCCCGGTTCTTAGAAGAGCCAATACAGAATCTTAGTAGCCCTGCGCAAAGTGCTTTCAGAGCAGAGACCATGCCTCTTCCTGCCTGTGAGCTCCTGCGTGCACAGAGCATGGGGAAGGGAGTAGCAGAGCTTGTCCAGAGAGGGACTACCAAGCCCCATCCCCTTCTCCCAGTCCTGACCTAGAGCTCTGTATCTAGTCCATGTGAAAATGTCTCAAGCTGTGATTGGGCTCTGAGACTTCAGTAATCAATGCAAACAGTGACTGATACTTTGTACTTCTCTGGGGGCTCCCACTTGGGGATTTTAGTGCCTTTTGGCAAATGTTAATTAACTAAATATCGCATGAAATGGGTAAATACTCTCCCTATTTTCCAGAGGGGGAAAAGAGAGTCAGTGACTTGCCTGGATCCATGGCCAAGAATCCTGATTTCCACTCGCGTGACCAAATCACTCATGTTTCTTTCCAGTCTAGCTCTGCCTTTGTAACACCACGGCAATGCAAGGCAGAATGCCTAATGCTATCCTGGGCTCAATGCGTTAAGGATATTAAATTGCGGTTATCTGACTAATCGTGTAGTTGATACAATTTGTATTGACTACACGATTAGTCAGTAAGGACCACTCTGCAGAGATGCAATGGGGTAGCTCCCAGAGCTGGCTCGAACCAGGACTGAGCAGTTCTGGCTTGTGCCAGCTCCAGGAGCCGCCCACACTGCAGCTCTGCATTTTAAATGTAGAAAGAGTCTCTGGGCTCTTATCACATTTAAAATGCAGAAGTGCACGTCCCAGACCAGTGCGAACTGGGTCTGCTCAGTCTTGGCTTGTGCCGACTACAGCAGCCCCTGTTTGGGAACAGTGGCTGCTCCAGCAACAGCCCCTCTTTGCGGCGGCCAGACCTGCAAGTGGCCAACCCAGGCTGCTCTGCACAGGGATTAATTGACGGCAGCTTCCTGCTGGGACCCCCACAGACAGAGGTTGCCTTCTTGAGCTCCTCCCCCTGTCCCCCCACTGAGTCTGATAGAGGCAGCAGGGGGGTGAGGCAGGTGGCACCATGGAGACCGGCTTTTAAGCTGGCTACCCTCAGCACTGTCTCCTGTGTCGTCCTGCCTCCCCCGCTGCCTCTCATACAGAGGCAGCAAGGGGGGAAGCAAGTAGTCAAGTACTTCACTGGACTATCTGATAAGCATCTGTCTAACATCTCTACAATGCATAGCCAAACCGACTGGTTCCTATGCTAATATGATAGCTGGTAGACGTGAGTGTAAGGTGAGTGTCTTCTCTTATCCTGCAGGGTTGGAGTCGGACCTGAACAGGAGGCTACATGGGCAGCACTTGGCAAAGAATGTCATTCTCAGAGCAATGAGAAGCTTCCTGGAGACCCCACAGCCGGCGAAGGCCCTGGCCCTGTTGTTCCATGGCTGGTCTGGCACTGGGAAAAACTTTGTCGCTCGGATGATTGCTGATCACCTGTACCGTGATGGGCTGAAAAGCGAGTGTGTTAAAGTCTTTATCTCACTCTTTCATTTCCCACACCCCAAATATGTGGACTTGTACCAGGTGAGAGAACTCCAGTGTTACCAGCCACCACAGCTGTTGGTTGTAGTAGGGGGTAACTCAGTCCTGGTCTCTTCAGTCCCAGTCAAAGGGGCGTTTCTGAATAGGTAGCTAGTTCAGCCCCAGCTCTTAGCAGAAGATAGTGCAGGATTACTGGCTGCAGGAGAGCTCTGTGCCAGCCCAGTTCGAGCCCTTCCCAGCAGAAGCCACTAGCTGTGAGAGAGCCCAGTACCACTCCAGGGCTGGCCTCTCTCAGAAGAGGGCCATTCTGAAGCCTGAGTGTAATGATTAGTGCTCTCAGCTGCTGGGGATGGTGCAGGAGCACTTGCAGCGGAGCAGCTCCTGGCTGTTGTCCCAGCCTCTCCCAGTGGGAGATACGAGAGGGCATGGAGCAGCGGGTGGGGTGCTGACTGCGAGGAGCTCTGTCTTCCGTGGCAGCTGCGCCTGTGTCGAGGATGCAGTTAGCGCAGTCGAGAAACCCCACGTGACCTGTACACAGGCCAGCTACTGGCCAGTTCACACTTTTTGCCTCTGCCCTGCAGGGTCAGCTGAAGAAGCAGATAAGGGAGACGGTGCAGCTCTGCAAACAGTCCTTGTTCATCTTTGATGAGGCGGAGAAGCTTCACTCTGGCCTGCTGGATGCCATCAAGCCCTGTGTGGATCCTCACACCAGCATCAGCGAGGTGGATTACAGGAGATCCATTTTCCTGTTCCTCAGGTGACTACCACAGACCCTAGAAACAAGGTTCTGGTTGCGGGGGGAGGGATCTGTTTTCCCCAAGGCTCTTGAAGACCAGCATTAAACACCCCCTTAGATGCCATAGTCCAGAAAGCTGGGCCAGTGTTGCACAATTAATTAATAGTTTTTACCTTCCACTTGAACATCTGCTGGAGATGCCAAATTAGGCCACAAGTCTGCTGTGGCACAACATGTCCCATGACCCCTACTTTATCCTGATGGTCAGAGGCCTGGGCTTTTCTCTCGGCCTTATCCCCGCTGAATTTATCTGCTCAGAAGGCACATGCCTTGGCATTTTCAGAACTGTCTGGTCTTCAGAACTGGCCCAGTGGTCGGGGGAAGTAGGCCCCCGAATCCTTGGTCAGTATGTTTGTGGAGAGGGAGCTGGGATTGAGCCACAGGATAGAGGGAGGTAGGGAGCTACCCTACCATTGTGGCTAAATTTCCCGCCGCGCCGGAGCCACAGGATGGAGGGAGGTAGGGGTCTCCCCTACCATTGTGGCTACCTTCCCTGCCGCGCTGAGGGGAGCCTTGAGCCCCGTGTGATCCCAAGTGCTGTTTTGTCATGCTGCAGGGAGGAGGGTAGCAGGCCCCCTCTGTGACGCTGCCCTCTGTTGTGGGAAGCAGGCTGCATGCCCATAGACACTGGCTTTGCACGTCTGTCATCTAGAAACCAGACTGCTCTTGGAGAGGTCATTGAAACTGTGCCACACTAGGTCCTCCTCTTACGGGGATGGCTGTGTCTCTGAAACCGAAGGGGTTTCTTTCCTGTTGATCCCAGAGATGAGCGGGGGGTGGGAGGGAGCTGCAGCTCCCTGGACAGAGCTGGCTCAAATGTGAAGGGGAGCTGGGGTAGCAGGAGTAGGCGGCACAGAATGAAGGGGTGGACAATGGGATAGTCTTTGACTCAACTATACATTTGTTGTCTTCATCTTTGGAAATGGCTCAAGAACCCTTTGGAGAAGGGAGCGTGCAAGTGTGTCCTCCAGTCCCCAATTTTCTCTCTCCCTTAATTCGGGGAAAACACTTGAAGGGCCCAGGCAGCTTTTGTCCTGGGAGCTCTGCCACATCATCTCCCCTCCCCACACATCTTAAGGTGAGGATAGTGAGCTGCCTCCCTCTAGCTGGTGTGACTCCCTCCGCAGGGCTCGCGCTGTTTCCAGACCATACTGTCTGGAATAATTTGGCCTGCTGTTTGGGGCTCCTTTTGCAAGTTTCAGTGCTCGCCTTGCCCCTTTCAGTGCAGTACGTACATGTCTGCTTAGAGAAACAAGCATTTTAAAAATGACCCTGCTGTGTGAGTTCCAGCTGCCTTTCCCCTTACAAAGAGCTAGTCGGGCAACAAGGACCCCAATGTGGGTTCTCTCCTGCCTTCACAATCTCCCAGTTCCACTTTCTCTTCCACACACAGCACTGTCTGGACTGTGGCCTCTGATGGGACTCGTGCTGGGTTCCCTGCCCTTTGCAGAGTTGTCTGCGCCTGGAGACTTCTCTGCAGATGGGGCTGGGAGATAAAGGGGCTGTAGTCAATGTTCTGTACTCTTGATTCACAGTGGGCCGTAGTCTGGGAGGGTGGGGCCTACCCCTAAAAAGCATAACTGGAGAATGGAAGTTGATTGGGAAGTTGATTCCTCTAGGGCCTGGGTGTGAGCAGACCCTTCAGTGGAAAGGCAGGGCTTTGGTTTGGAAAGGCTGCCAACCCATGAGCTAGCCCCAAGCCAAAGAGCCAAACAACATCAACATTCAGAACAAGTGGTCAACAAAAAGCCATATAAGAATGCCCATTTGCATGACCGAAAATGTAATACTGATAATTGATATAATGATTACGGATAGCACAAATGAAACGTTGTACTCACAGGCTTTATTTAATGGGATGTCTGCTGCTGCATCTTTTTGCACAATTCTTTGTTGTTTACATCATAACTGGTCAAATCCAGCTTCATGCGTATTCAGGCTGTTTTCTGTCAGTCTTATGGCAGGAGGCTGTATGAGGAGCTCAGGGCAGGAGATCGGGGTGTATGATGGACTCAGGGCACAAGGTGGGGTGTGTAGAGGTGCTGGAGTGTTATGACTGGGGATGTGGGGGTGCATGAGTTTGGGGATTTGGGATTATGAGGGGCTCAGAGCAGGGGCTTCAGGTGTATAATGGGCTCAGTGTTGGTGGGTGGGGTACAGGAGTGTTATGATGCTACGGCAAGATGGGGGCTGGGCCCCAATTGGGAGCTTGTTGGCCAGGCTTCATTTTTAAACAAAATAAAATACTATGTCCAAGGCACAAGATTTCAATATTGTCTTTATTTATGGCAAGAGTGGGGAACCTTTTTTGGGTTGGGGGACCACATAAGTGAGAAGCAAAAAAACTCTCCAAAACTCCCCAACCCTCACTGATGTGGCCCCCAACTGACACACCTCACTCCACTGGTGCTCCAGCCCCAGAGCTGGGGAGAGGGGCTGGAAGGACTGATGTTCAAGGCCTCAGGCCAGATTGACTCTTCTGGGGTTCCAAGGTTAGTGGATTTGGTGGGCCCGCTGAGACTCTGGGTTGGGGCAAAAAGTGAGGCATTAAGTGTGTGGGACAAGGCTGTCAGTGAATGAAATAGGGATGAGAGTACGGGATCTGGGCAGCAGGTGAGGTATAGGAGGGGGTGAGATGTGGACAGGAGGGACAGGCTACCTGTCCGGGGGCAGGAGCAGGCTGGGGGCCGGCTGCCTGGCCAGGGGGCCATGGGCAGGGGGGATTCTGGCCAGGGACCTGGGGGCAGGCTGTCTGGCCGGTGCGGTGGTGTGAGGGGGGTGTCTGGGCATGAAGAAGTGGGGGGGGCACTTGTTTTTGCGCTGCGCAGCAAGCAATGTGTTCCAATGTGCTTCCTGCTGTTCCCATTTGCTGGCAGGAAGCCTCTGGGAAGGGTTGGCGGGGAGGCTGCTGGAAGTGTGTCCGGAGGGAATAAATTAGCAATACACAGGGGTTGCGTCTAGACTGGCAGGTTTTTCCGCAAAAGCAGGTGCTTTTGCGGAAAAACTTGCGAGCTGCCTACACTGGCCGCTTGAATTTCCGCAAGAACACTGACTTCCTACTGTCTGAAATCAGTGCTTCTTGTGGAAATGCTATGCTGCTCCCGTTCGGGCAAAAGCCCTCTTGCGCAAATGCTTTTGCACAAGAGGGCCAGTGTAAACAACACAGTATTGTTTTGCGCAAAAAAGCCCTGATGGCGAAAATGGCGATCGGGGCTTTCTTGTGCAAAACCATGTCTAGATTGGCACGGATGCTTTTTTGTAAAAAGTGCTTTTGCGGAAAAGCGTTCGTGCCAGTCTAGATGCTCTTTTCTGCAAATGCTTTTAACAGAAAACTTTTCCGTTAAAAGCATTTGTGGAAAATCATGCCAGTCCAGACGTAGCCAGGGAGCCCATCTTTGCTTCCTGGTTTCTCCCATGCCAGGGGGAAGGAAGACACTGTCGCACAGAGCATTCTTAGCTCTGCTTGTTCCTTGGCAGGGAGCCTCGGGGCTTCCCCCCAGGAGCCATAGGTTGCCGACCCCTGGGCTAGATGAATCCTTGTTCTGCCAACTGTCCCGAGGCCTGGGCCTGAGAGGAAAGCTGGGTGCTGTTAGTGGCTTGTGACATACGATTTTGTAGGAAATATCTTAATGTTTATCTTCCCTTTCCTTCCCAGTAACATTGGTGGGAACACCCTCAACCAGGTGGCTCTGGACTTCTGGCGAGCTGGACGGACCAGGGAGGAGATCACCATGGAATCCTTGGAGCGGCATCTGCGCATGGAGCTTCGTGAGGCCACAGGTAATGGTGTGAATTGCTGCAAGTCTGCATCTGCTGTCCAGAGCCCCGTCCGTGTGTGGGACTTATTTTATTGAGTGGCTGTTTCATGGCCCTCAGTGACTCCCGAAGCTCTCCTCCTCCCAGTCTCTCCTCAATACACCCCTGGGAAAGCTAGGTCAGTGGCTTGCTTCAGTCATTCGGACTCGGTGACAAAGCTGGGGTTTGAACCTAGATACCTTGCAACCAAGACCAGTGCCTTAGCCATAAGAAAGACACTAACTGCAGTTCAGAGTATCACTCAGTGGTTTCAGGCATGTCTTATGCCCAAAGATAAAAGTACGGGTTGTGTGTAAACTGTAAAAGCCTGATTTCCTACAAACGGGATGAGCTCAGGGCAGACGTAGCCTCATGAATCAGTGGGCACTTTCCTGAACACAGTTGCCATAGCCACCTTGAGTAACAAGCAGTGCTGGACATGGCGCTGCTCAGAG